ACACCACAGTACTCTAGCCCAGGTGACAGAAAAAAAAAAAAATTGAAAGATCTTTGCAAACGTGAAAGGTCTTTGGATGATAATTCACTGCCCTCTTCACTATTATTTGCTTTATTCCCGTTTATTCAACACATATTTATTGAGCATTCACACTGTGCCAAGGGCTGTGCTAGGTGCTGGATAAACAAGAAGTAGTCTCTGCCCTCGTGGAACTTACATTCTAATGTACATTAAACCACTGTGGATCAAGGTGAAAAGAATGTGAAAGTCACTTCCCAGTCCCCTCACTGCACAGAACACTGAAGGTGGAGGAGTTAGCACCTTTATCCTTTCCATGTTTTGATTGCCTCTCACTGCTAAGCTTCTCATTGCCCAGGACCCTATGTGGCAGGCTTTCCCCCAGGGTCACTCCTAGAAGATGGTTTAACTAAATAATATTTAAAATATTGGACTCTCTCTGCAACTAATGGGACAACAGCTCTTTTTTAAAAATCCCATTAATAGTACCTATTATGATGTATTCCAGTGTCTGGGTGTGTGATAAAAGATCCAGTTATCTACCTTCTTGCATTATAAGAGTCAGCACAGGCCCTGGAAACCCTGGTACTAATAATTTCGTTGCAGGACTTCAGGGTTCTAGATTTCTGGGGGGTGTTAGACTGGTCCCTAAAGTGATGTGATCCCTGCCCAGCTTTCCACCCTCCTCTTTCCGCTATTTTCAGCCCTGGGGCTAACCGCCAAGACACAGTACCACGCTTTCCTGGGGCAGCCTCCGTGGAGGAAGGCATAGATCAAGGCACCCGGGAAGATGAAGTTGTGGGAAGAAGTCCCTCGACTCTGCAAGGACCTCCCCGAGCGTGCGCACTAGCGCCCCCTCCGACGCCGACCGTGCTGGGAGGAAGGGGCGGGGCGTCGCCGGTCGCTCCTGCATCCGCCGGACGCCGGAAGTGACTCTCCGCCCCTGCCACTGGGCCATGGAGACTGTGGCACAGTAGAGTCTGGTTGAGGCTTTAGGGGCGGCGGCCATGGAGGCCGTGCTGAGCGAGCTGGTGTCTGTGGATGACTTGGTGGTGAGGCCTGGCCCCGAGAGAGGGCAAGGGAAGATTCGGAGGGCGGGTCCTGAGGAGAGTCGGGCATTGGCCAAACGCTCTTCCCGGCATCGGCCTGGCTAAGGGGAGCCGAACTACGGCTCCCGGCAGCCTCCGCAGCGTCCGGCCTCTGCTCGAGGGCCCACTTTGCTCCGGAGGCTAGTGGGAGTTGTAGTTTCTTGAGCCGCCACTCCTCAATCTAAAGGCCTGCAGTCTGACGGTAGAAAGACTGATGGGTTCTGGGTTCGTGCAGGAGTTGGGAGCTCGGGGTGCTCCTTCAGTGCTGAAGGAGTATACCGACCATCATAAAGTTTCAGATATCACTGTGTCTGGCGCGGTGCTAAGTGCATTGCATGCCACATCTGAATCTTTGTAGCTCTAGGAGATAAGGCACTATTTCTGTTCCCGTCTTGCAGATGGGAAAGAGCCGGACCCGGCAGGGTGGGGCAGGATGGGGCCAGCCGTCTCAGACGAGGACCGCGTGGGCTGTTGTCGAACAGTTCTGACAGCGTGTTTACTGTTCAGCCACTCGCGGTCAGCTGCTCTGGGAGTGGTGCCTGGGGCTGCTACCAGGTGGCATCTCCGCTCGGTACCACTAGGGGGCGGGAAATCGAGGGGGCTTCTGTCCACAGAGCCAACTCGCCAGCCCTGGGGAGCAGAGTGCCTGGATCCCAGGGATGTAGATAGCAGAAGCTGGGCTGCCAGGTACCAAGACCCGCGAGGGAAATGGGACAGAGACAGGAAGATGGAGTGTAACTGGAAACGGACACCATGTCCAGTTTGAGAATGGTTGACGCCCTTCATTTCTAAATGATTCCTCTCCTCCCCTATGGCAGAAGTTTGAAAAGAAATTTCAGTCTGAGAAGACAGCAGGCTCGGTGTCCAAGAGCACGCAGTTTGAGTACGCCTGGTGCCTGGTGCGGAGCAAATACAATGATGACATCCGTAAAGGCATCTCGCTGCTCGAGGGTGAGGTGCTAGGCTACCCAACTCTCCCCTTCCCGACTGCCATGGGGAGCTGCTCTTCAACATGGGCCCTATAAACAGTCACCAGCAGTTACTTCCCTTAAACTTACTGCAGCAAAGGGCTGTACTTAGTCTTATTCTCCCAGTGAACTGTTAGCTAATTACCACCCACCATTGTCTTGCCAATCAGAGTCATAGCATGCCAGTTCCCACAGGACTGTCGTGATCTGGTAGAGAAAGTGACTTGTCTGAGGTCACACAAATAATCAGTGGCTGAATTAGAACTAGAAGCTTCTGTCCTGTGAGTCGCAGTCCCATGCTCCTTGCCCCCCACCATGTTGCTTAGCCAGCAGCTATTGAGAACCTTTTGTGGGGATGGCATAGAAGAGGCACAGAAGACTGTCCTAAAAAATTGTGAGCAGATGGTGCTTTGGGATTGGAATCCTATTTTCCATTGGTTTGTGGTGGGTCATCATTTGTTAAGAGGCCACAATACTTGACCTTTAAATTTCTCTTTACCCTGTACCCCCTTTCCCTTGGTCAAGTAATCATTTATGAGCACACAATCTGTGTGCAGTCACCCCTTGTTATATGTGGGAGATTGGGGCCAGGACCCTCCGAGGATACCAAAATACACAGGTGCTCAAGTCTCTTGTATAAAATGGTATAGCATTTGCATATAATGTTATGCACATCCTTCTGTATAGTTTAAATCATCTCTAGATTACCTAAAATACTTAATACAATGTCAGTGCTGTGTAAGTAGTTGTTATATTGTTTAGGAAATAAGGACTAGAAAAAAATCAGTACATCTTCAGTACAGACACAACCATCTTTTTTTTCCCCTCCTCAAGTATTTTCAATCCTAGGTTGGTTGAATCCACAGATCGGAACCAAAGGGCTGATTGTACTAGCAACGAATGCATATCGTAAACCTGTAAAAATAAGAACCTTTCTTAATGCAAATATTCTCACCCTACTTTTGTCTGTTTAGCTAATTCAGATTTTTCAGGTTTATTCTATAGCAGGACACAGCTGTAGAAGTGGTCTAAGTGTTGCCATTCTAGTTGAGGAGACAGTACAAAGTAGTCTCCTCAAAGTAATATACTTGGGAAGATTTATAAACACCTGAAAACTACTTAGCAACACATTCTAGTGCTTAGAGTACAACCAAGCACATAAGCTTCTGGGAAGTCACTGAATTAAGAAAGTCAGGTGGGGTCATTCAGGGAAGGCTAACTGAAGGTGAGTTTTGAGGTGATTTTTTACAAGGGTAGGGAGTGCAGACTTATTTTTAACAGCGAGGCAGTATGGTTTGAAACACAGCAGGTACCAAAACTGGGTAGAGCTGCCTTTTGACTCCTCCAAGACCTTGATTTCCTGTCAGTTCATGTGTTCGGGCGAGAGTTGACTTTGATACTGATAACGTGATGATGTCTGTTGCTGGGGTGCTTAGGCAGCCTTGGGCAGGGTCCACCCTGCCCCAGAGCTCTGGCTGGGAGCTGGAACGGAGGCTCAGGACAGCAACTTCCCCAGGATCGCAGAGAGAGTCAGAGAGTGGAAGGGGTCTTTGGGACATAGTATTAGGAAAAGAAAAAAGCAGTTTTCACCCTTCCCCTCCCCCTCTGCAGAGCTGCTGCCCAAGGGGAGCAAAGAGGAGCAGCGGGATTATGTCTTCTACCTGGCTGTGGGGAACTACCGGCTCAAGGTGAGGCAGAAAGGGCCCCTTCTTCCCTCCACCCTACTTAGGTGGGCTGTAGTGCCTTCTTACTTCCCCCGGGGTAGAGCCCCAGACATCAGGAAGGCTGAAGAAGGGCAACGGGCAGGGGGTGGCGTCAGGTACAGAGGTGCAGCGTGGTATCAGACCAGGACTCTGAGGGAAGGTGAGAGAGGATCAGGGTGCCAAGGGTGTGGGGAGCAAGGTGACGTCAGATTGGGGTGCAGCCCCGAGCCCTGGGCTGTTATCTTCCCCAGCTTATCACCCCTACACAGTTGGGGCTGTTTGTGGACTCTACTCCTTGGGGTGGGGCTGGAGTGAGGGCGCAGATGGAGGGAGGAGCCCCCAGGGCTCGAGCAAGGAAGGCCTGGTGGGCAGGGGGAGCGGTAGAGCCCTAGCCTGTGGATAACGTGTATGTGTGTATGTGTGTGTGTGTGTGTGTGTGTGTTTTCTCCCTGAGTATAGGAATATGAGAAGGCCCTAAAGTATGTTCGAGGGCTGCTGCAGACAGAGCCCCAGAACAGCCAGGCCAAGGAACTGGAACGGCTCATTGACAAGGCCATGAAGAAAGGTGAAAGCTGCCTCTCCGTTTGTTAAGTCCTCCTCCTTCCTTCTTGTTTGGACCGTTTGGTCTCTCTTTAAATGACCCCCCTCCAAGCAGTCCCTCCTCAACACCCCCAACCCTTGGAGGCCCTTGTCCTGTGACTCCAGGTAGGGTACACGCTTCTGTTGAGGGGCAGGGCCAGGGGGAAGGTGATGGTTAGGGTCCCTGCAGGGATAGGGGCTGGGTTCTTGACAGTGTCCCTTTTCCTTTCCCCAGATGGACTAGTGGGCATGGCCATCGTTGGAGGCATGGCCCTGGGCGTGGCAGGACTGGCTGGACTCATCGGACTTGCTGTGTCCAAGTCCAAATCCTGAAGGAGACTGCACCTTCTCTGCCCAGGGTGATGTGGGAGCCCATGGAAGACACTGGAAGAGGGGCCCGTCCGTCTTCACTGTCCCTTCCCACTTCCTCCCCTGCACCCCTGCCATGGGCCAATGTGGCCTTCAACTTCCACTGCCCTGAGACCTGTCCTTCAGCCCCAGATCATGTGCTTTGGGATGAGTGTAAATAAAATTGGGCTGTGGCTTGGGAACCTCTGCGTTGAGTTGGGGGAGGGGCTTCCGCTGGGCACAAGGGAGGGGTGCCACTCATGGTCCTTTCCTGCTGCTACCCTCCAGGCTAGGGGGGTGTCCTCCTTTGTCCCAGAGCAGCCCAGACCCCACACCCTTCCTTCCTTTCCTCCCCCACGTCCCTTTTCATGGCCCTAGGATCCTGGGAGGGAGCAGTGACCGGAGGAGGGAAGGGCAGAGCTGCGGGCACAGGATGGGATTTATGCCTCCCGTCTCCTCTGACCCACTCGGCTGCCTCTCAGCACCTGGAGTTTTCCACACTAGTGGCCCCCCTCAGCTTCCTCCCACCCCCCCTTCCCTCCCTTTGTCTTCCTGCACCCCTGTTTCTCCCTCCCTCATCCTCCTCAGGGGGAGGGTGCCTCTTGGGGAAGGAAACTGGCATTGGCATGGGGTGGGCAGGGCCTTGGGAGAGGTCAGGAGCCCAGGGTGCCAGCTCTGGCCTGTGGGATGGAAGGTTGACCCGTCCTCACCCAGCCTGCTGTGCCCCACACCCCCTCGTGCCAGGCTCCGCGTGGGCCTGTTTGGCTTCCCTGCATACCTCTCGTTCCACAGCCCAGCTGGGCAGCGGGGAGGAGGCACCTGAGGGGAGTACAGAGGAGCCTGATTCGTGAAGGGGGAACAGGGAGGTACAGTCCAGCTCAATGATGTCCCCTGTGGCTGGGTGTGCAGGATCAGCCCCTCAGGGACTGAGCCCCAGCGCCACTTGCCAGAAGGGAACCAGGGCTGTCCCAGCTCTGACCCTGGGGCAGAAAATGAAAGTGTCCACACTGGGACAGGTCGGGCTTGGGGACCCAGCAGTTTCTAATCCATCATAATTAACACAGCTGGTGTTCCTGATAATTCTGAATGGGTCACATTCTGGGCCTGTGATCTACCTCGGGCCCCTTGGCAGCAGGATCAAGCTCGATGATGAGAGTCAAAGATCAACTCAGTGAGGGGGAGTTAGAGATCTGGAGAAAAGTGATATGTTGGTGGCCTCACTCAACCCTGCGGCACTCAGATCCAGGACAATCCCCAAGTATGGAGCACTTGGTATGTTTGGGGAGCTTGGATCTGTGGTCCCAATCCCTGTGACAGCCTATGAAGTGAGCATTGGTATCTCTAGTTGACAGAAGCAGACACGAGCTCAAAGGGAAAGAAGTGCCTTCCCCAGTCACCTGGGTCAGTGGTGGGGTCGAGCTGAAATCCAGGTGGGTTAGACTCCAGAACTGCTGGTCTCTCCCACCTTCCCGCCTCCTCATTCAACGGTAATCTTCCTTGGAGACTCAAATGTCCCAACTCCTAGGTCCTTGAGTGTCTTGGGTTGTCCTCCCCACCCTGAGAGGGTGGCACTGCAGCCCCCCTGCAGGCTGCTTGTGGGCTGGAATTCATTCTCATCCTCCCTTGCTTCTGTCTCTCAGTCACCTTTTCTCCTGTCCCTCTGATCCGTTCCGGGCCCCCATGAAAGCTCACTCAGAGCTGGAGCTTCCCCTTGGCTCCCAGTGCCTCCCTGGAGGCTCCTCCTTGGCTGTTTCCGTCTGTCACTCCTGGTAAGTCCACTCCCCCCCACCCTCGTGGGGCGGGGAGTCAGGGCAGCCCAGAGGCTGGGGGGAGGAGGTGGACTTTTGGCCGTTTCATTTATTCCCTCCATCTCCTCGTCAACAGCCGCGTGTGCTGGGCTCACTCCTCTGACCTGCCAGGAAGCAGAGAGACCCGGAGAGAGGGAGGGACGCAGAACCTGGAGACAGACCTGAGCCGAGGAAGAGGCAGGCAGAGGCTGCAGCTGGACTCGTGCCCTTCCCCTCCCTCCCTCCCAGCCTGCCTTGGCACCCTCCTGAGCCAAAGCCCCTTCAAGTTCCCCAGGGGCTCTACCCTCCCCCTCTCTGGGGCACCAGCCCCTCAGGGCCCTGCGTCCCACCATGTCGGTGGCCGTGGAAACCTTTGGCTTCTTCATGGCAGCCCTGGGGCTGCTGATGCTGGGGGTGACCCTGCCAAACAGCTACTGGCGAGTGTCCACCGTGCACGGAAATGTCATCACCACCAACACCATCTTCGAGAACCTCTGGTATAGCTGTGCTACTGACTCAATGGGAGTCTACAACTGCTGGGAGTTCCCGTCCATGCTGGCCCTCTCTGGTATGGGGTGGGGAGAGCTTCAGGGTGCAAAGGGGGTGGGAGGTTGGGGAGATTCCAGGGGAGGCTGGGTACTGCCATAAGGATACAGGGGCCCTGGGTCGAGCTCTGGGATCTGGGGTTCTGTACCCAGGAGTGCTGGGGATGGCCCCTATCTGGAATTGGAGTGGAGACCTTGTCACACATAGCCCCCTGCCCTGTGTGACACTCTTATCTTAAGGGTAATAGGTGCGGGCACCGGAGTCAGACTACCGGGGGCGACTTCTGCTTCTACTGACTCTATGCCTCGGGCAGGTGGTAAGACGAGTTTCATCTTAACCCATCTGTAGGACGAGGATGGTAACAGTCCCCATTCACAGGTGGTCAAGAAAGTACAAAACGTTAACATGATGTTAACATACATGCACTCAACACAGTTTAGCATTTTATTTTTGGGGTAGGCAGAGTGAGGAGGTCCCACCTCAGATTCTTGGTAGTTGATGCACTTCTAGTCTCAGTAGTGTCCCTAGGCATCTGCGTGCTGGGACGTTGGTCTCCACGTCTGCTTAGTTCTAAAGGTCTCTTGGGAAGGCCTGGTTCCAGGGCAAGGGAGGTGTCTTGCAGGACTGGGCATCTACTGTAAGGAGGAGGCTTGTGTATATGCATATGTGTTTGGGGTTCTCAGGACAGTGTCATTTTTGAGGTTCCTAGAGTGCTGGAGCCTACAGCTTTTGGGGCCCAGAGCAGTTCTCTCTGGTGGCTGCAGCATCTTCCTGCTTCCTGCTCACTCCCTGGGACTAGCCCTCCCCATGATTTTCCCAGGGGAGTCTCTCTTTGGTCGGCCCCATGCCAGAGACCAAGAGTCAGTGGCTGTGAACCATAGGTAGTGCCACTCCCCACCCTCACTGGGTCCTTCGGGGCCAGCCTGCTCACCTGGCACCATGCTGTAGGTACCCCGTGGTAGGGAAGGAACTGAAGCCAACACTAGGTATGAAGCAGTGTTCCTTGAAATTGCCCCCTTAAATGTCAGAGATGCTACAAGCAGTTAGGGGTCCAGTTAGGTCTCTTGTGCCCCCAGCAGTCCCAAAACCTCCTGAGGCTGTGACAGGGGCTGTTTCATCCATCTCTCTAGGACTAACTGCAGGGCAAGTGCACCCCAAACCCCTGTAAAGGCTGAGTACAATCTGGGCCAGAAGCTCAGAGTGCTGGGTGGCCAGAAGTGACACTGGAGGCAGCTAGCTCAGTAGCCAGGGCCAGCCCCACTTCACCCACCCCTCAACCACACCGTGGTGTCAGGAGGGGACTTTGCAGTGAGCCTGTGCACCAGAGAGGGGCCCTACTTGGAACCGCTGCTCTTAGCCTGAGAGACGACACAGGTGTGCATGAAAGACAGGGGCCATAGCCCTTATGTGGCAGGGGCAGAGGGTGGCAGGTTCAGGGCCTTGTGCTAGGTACTGCCACCCACATATTTTCCTGATGTCTGCAATAGCCCTGCTGTTGGGGGCAGCAGGAGGAGACCTCCTTTTACAGAAGCTGAAGAAACCTGGCAAGGTTAAGCCACCTGCCCAGAGTCCCACAGGTGGTAGAGGGGGTGCTGGAATTCAGACTTCATGGCTGGTTGTGGTCCTGAGGGGGTCTGTCATCTAATCATCTCCCAGCTGTACAACCTGACCCCTAGCCACTCAGCCCATGTGCTTCAGGCCCTTTGATAATCTCCCTTTGACTGCTGGAGCTTCCTGGGGATTCAGAGTCAGGGTGAGGGGAGGCCAGAGAGTGGCTGGGAGTAAGGATGTACTCCCAGAGAACTTTGTCCCTCCTCCCTACCCCCCAACTTGGGGCCACTTTACCTCCTCCTGGCAGGGACTCAGCCTTTCCCCTTCAGCACCTATGGTACTGCCCCACCCAGGAAAGGGGTGCAAGGTCCTTGGGAGTGCTTGCCAACTATCAAAGTCAGAGAAGGGAGGAGAGGGCCAGAGAGGGAGCCAGCAGCTTCTCTCGGTTTTGAGAAAGGGGAAACTGAGGCATTGAAAGTTTTATGAGCTAAGCCAAGAGTGGTGGTTCACACCTGTAATCCCAGCGACTCAAGAGGCTGAGGCAGGAGGATTGCTTGAGCCCAGGAGTTCAAGACCAGCCTGGACCATATAGCAAAACCTCATCTCAGAAAAAGAAAGAAAATGAGCTAAACTGATTTGGATGAGTCCTGGGCCCAAGTATCCACCTTCCAGATCAGAAACTGCCCTAGACCCTCTGCCACAGGCACTGCTGCCCCCTAATGGTTACTCCAGGAAGAAACAGCTTACTGTGTCCTGCACTGTGCTGGGCACTGTGGCGGGACTTGGAGAGGAACCAGGTGTGGGAAAGGGGCAGGGTGTTCAGGTACAGTGTCTATAATGCACGGCACGCAGGAGCAATATAATCCAGCAGCAGCTCTCATCAGGGTGGCCCTGCACTTAGATTGTCACAGCCTGGGAGCAGGGGTTGCTCCTGGCACCCAGTGTGTAGAGGTCAAGGATGCTGCTAAATGTCCTACAGTGCACAGGATGGTCCCCCAGCATAAAGAATCATCTGGCTCAAAGTGTCTGCAGTGCTGAGGAGAAACCCTATAACAGAGGGACAAGCAAAGTGCTCCTGGTGCTGGGGAGGACGGAGGGAGGAGGGGAGCTGGCAAGAGGGGCTGAGATTCATAGGGAAGGATATGTAAGTCCTCAGTGGAGTAGGCGGGAATGGAACCCTGGGGGAAATGAGAGGATTTGGGGGCTTTTGGGGACAAGAGAGGAGCAAGAAGATGAGGGGTTGTCAGAGGCTGGCTGAGTGGGAGAGGGGAGGAGATGGAGAGACTGATGCTGTGCCCCCTCCCCAGGGTACATCCAGGCCTGCCGGGCGCTCATGATCACCGCCATCCTCCTGGGCTTCCTCGGCCTCTTTCTAAGCATAGTGGGGCTGCGCTGCACGAACATTGGGAGCATGGTGCTCTCCAGGAAAGCTAAGCTGGCAGCCACCGCGGGGGCCCTACACATGTTGGCTGGTAATTGGGGAAGGTGATGGGTGGGGGGCTGCACTGCAGTGAGGGTTGGGGTGGCCCTTGGCCACAGACCCTGGGTTGTCATCATCTCCAGACCCCCGCTTGTGGCATTGCCTTGCCTTCCCTTAGCATTGACACCTGCCCTTCCCCTGCTCACCGTACCCCCCAATCCCTTGGCTCAAATCAGCCCATCAGCAGTGATTCTTGAGCTCCACTATGAGCCAGGTGTGGGGAGGACTTCAAAGGTGAGAGTGAGTGTCTGCCTCCCAGAGCTTACATCCTGGCTGGGCGACCAGAGTTAGACACACACACACACACAGCGCACAATAACAGTGTGCTGGCCATCACTTTGCAACTTCTGTAACATTTCTGCACACATCACCTCACAATAAGCCCTTGACATAGGGTGGGTATTGTTTTCCAGAGGTAAAAGTTCAGGACAAGCCCCCAGTGGGTGGAGTGGTGCCAGCCCAGGGGTCTGCCTGGCTGTGGGCACTCCCTGCGCCCAGTGGCTAAGGCCTGTCACAGGCCGCGAGGGCTTTGGGAGGCAGGAGGACAGGGCAGGCAGGGCCCATTGGGACGACTCCTGAGGTGGCCGGGCTTTCAGAGGTGGGTGGGATTTGGATGCAGCACATTCCAAGTGAGGAAATGATGTGATGGAGTGAACTAAGCAGGTATGGGACCAAGAAGAGGGGAGAGAGGCCAGACTGGTGGTAGGGGAGGAAGGTGGGATGGAGTTAGGGTCCTGAGTTCTAGACTGGGGAGTTTACTGTTGACCCCAGGAAGTGGGAAGGTTTATAAACTGGGGCAGACAGGAAGGCATTGGATGAAATTGCTGCTCTGGGCAGCCCCGGACTTCCCCTCCCCGATAAACCCTGCCCCCTGGACCACTGTCCTCCTCCCGCCTCCGTAGGTGTCTGCGGGATGGTGGCCATCTCCTGGTACGCCTTCAACATCACCCGGGACTTCTTCGACCCCCTGTACGCTGGAACCAAGTGAGTGAGGGCACCCCGTTCTCGGGGCAGCGGGTGGGACTCGGCCCTGTCCCCCCAACCCCCAGCCGGCGCCTCACCTCCAGCTCCCCCGCTACGTACTTGTCCCAGGTACGAATTGGGCCCTGCCCTCTACCTGGGCTGGAGCGCCTCCCTGATCTCCATCCTGGGTGGCATCTGCCTCTGCTCAGCCTCCTGCTGCGGCCCTGACGAGGACCCCGCCGCCAGGTGAGGGAGGGGCGAGTGCGTGGGGGTGGGGCAGGGGAAGCCGTCAGGGGGCGAGGCCGCGCCTCCCTCTGACCCGGGCCCCTCCCAACAGCCCCCGGCTCCCCTACAAGGCCTCCACGTCTGTGGCGCCCCTCTCCGCGTCGGGTGAAGAAGGCGACAGCAGCTTTGGCAAATACGGCAAAAACGCCTATGTGTAGGAGCTGCAGCCTGTGAGCCCCATTTTCCTTCCCGCTGCCCCAGAGGAGAGGGGTCGCCGCCGGGTCCCACCCTCCCAACAGCTTAAGGGGAAGGCCACGCCCCAGGCTCCACCCTGTACCCCAAGCCACGCCCATCAACGGGCCCTCCTCTCCGGCTAGAGCCACACCCCGGCCACGCCCCCTTGCCTTGCGCTCCTGGGGCCTTCCAGGCCAAGAACCGCAGTGAGAAGTCCCTTTGGCTGGATCCCTCCCTCCTCATCCATCTTCTGAGCCTGGGCTCTGGGATGTGAAGGGAACGGAGGTGTCCCTGAGTGTGTGTATTGTATATAAATACATACATAAATAAATGTATATTATGACTGTTCAGGGGTTAAGGGTGTCATGAAGCAGCTAGCCAAGCAAGTTATCGGGGGTGGCACCAAGGGTCAATTCAGTTCTTGGACCCTAGACTGTCACAGTCCACAACCTTTGGGTTGCCACCTCCAGCAAAATGGATAAGGGGCTACAAGTGATTTCAGAAGTGGCACATAATTACTGATAAGAATCATCGAGGGGCAGATATGGGTGGCCCCAGCTCCAAGAACGTGGAAATACCGTGTTTCCTCAAAAATAAGACCTACCCATAAAATAAGCCCTAGCAGGATTCCTAAGCATTTGCGCAATATAAGCCCTACCCTGAAAATAAGACCTAGTAATGGGCGTGGCTACGCAGCGTATCTGCACAACCCAGGCATTTCGTTGCAGAGCAGTAAAGAAGACAAGCAGCCTTTCTCATCTGCCCCATCGTGACAGCTACTATCCCAGAGGTGACTGGAAAGGTGAGGGCAGCCCCACCAAGGTCAGCTCCCCGTCAGGTCCTGGCCATCCTGTGCATGCTGCAAGCTGAAGCTTTGAGGGGAAAATAACACATCCCCTGAAAATAAGCCCTAGGGTATCTTCTTGAGGAAAAATAAATATAAGACCCTATCTTATTTTCTGGAAAACACAATAGCAGAGATGGCCCCAGCTATCTGGGGATAACAAGCCTGTCCTTTTACTCTCCTCAGCTGTACAAGGCGACAGTTGGTCTAGAGCAGAGCTGCTTTACCTGGGCCCGAGCGTGGGTATCAACACTGCCAAGTCCTTTGAAATTCTGTGTCAGATTAACTGGGTCTAGTGCAAGCATGTATCTCTGTGGAAGATTCAACAGCTTCTAGAAAAGACTACGAAAGTCTGCCAGTGTGTGTGTGGCTTGACAGTGTCCAGCTCAGACGTGGTCCTGGGTTGTGGATGAGCTTGGTGCAGGCTTTAGTGGGCACTGGGAAAGCTGCACCCATTTGAGATAGAACAATAAAGCCACCAGAACAAAGCCTGACATCCTGTGAAGAGGAGGGAAGGGGCCCTTTCCCAGCCAGCATCCTCCACAGCACTGACTAGTGACCAGTCGCTTAGGGGTGCCCTGGGTTCTGACCACAGTCCCTTCCCCTTTTCTCCCTCATCCCATTAACTTGTTGGCATCCACCCTCTCCTGCAGAGAGAGTGCCCACATCCACATTCTGTGAGGGCTATCTGGCCCTGGTCCCAAGCACACCCACCCCCAGGATATTTTCACCAGGCTGGGCTTCAGGAACATCAAATTCATCACCTTCCACTGAAGCTGCAGCTCCTGTCACTATTGTTACCAGCATCACCAACCTGTCTGGTCCTCAGGCCTCAGACATGCCTTCCCATCAAGGCTTCCGACTGGGCTCCACACCCAGAAACACTGGTGCTTCCTGGGTGCTACCTACATAGATGGTCCCATGGCCAAGTCCACAAAAACTCATATATCCTACCCCTCCACACTCTGCTTTCATAAAGTGTGCAGGTGTCCCATAGGCCAAGTCCAGAGTCCATGTGGAAGGGACTGCACAAGAGCCCAGGCACTGGGAAGCATGTCTCATGGGAACCCTCAGTGCAACACTCTAACCCTGCCAAGTCCTGGGCCACGTAACTTGCTTTGTTAGCACAGATAGGGGACTTCTCTCTCAAAAATGAGACAGATGCCTTAAAAGTGTCTTACCACCCTGAAGGGCTACAAGAATGCCCTCCCACACACACAGTGAAGGACAAAAGCCAGTTACAACTTCTGACACTCCCAGGTGCCTCCAACACAAAGTCTCCTCTGTCCCACCCCACAGGCCTTCCTCCTTTTTTGAATGACAGCTCTGCTCCTCTCACCTGCTTCCCAGAATCCTTGGTTATCCTAATTCCCATCAATTAAAACCAATGCTGGCTGGGTGCTGTAGCTCATGCCTGTAATCCTAGCACTCTGGGAGACCAAGGCGGACAAATCACTGAAGGTCAGGAGTTCGAAACCAGCCTGAGCAAAAGTGAGACCCCCTCTACTAAAAATAGAAAAAAATTAATTGGCCAACTAAAAATATATAGAAAAAATTAGCCAGGCATGGTGGTGCATGCCTATAGTCCCAGCTACTTGGGATGCTGAGGCAGAAGGACTGCTCAAGCCCAGAAGTTCAAGGTTGCTATGAGCTAGGCTGATGCCACGGCACTCTAGCCTGGGCAACAGAGTGAGACTCTGTCTCAAAAAAAAAAAAAAAAACACCAACGCTAATTGAGGTCCTTTGGGAGTAAGTCCCACATCTCTAGCCTTCCCAGATCCTGGCACTAACCTCCTTCTCCCTGTGTTCCCAGGAAAGGGTAGGGCTGCCCCTATCACATGACACTACATTTAGCTCTAGAAGCTTTTGGCATAGTGTACATTTCCCAAAGACCGGTGTCTCCCAAGGTAGGGAGTAGTCTCCCCTAGCACAAAGGAAGCTGGCAAAAATTGTCAAAGTTTCCCATGGGGTTCAGAGATCCTAGAATCAGCTTCCCAGAGGACATCAATGGGTGACAGTGGAGCCAACCAGCATCAGAGCAATAGGAAGCCCTTGGGGTCTGGCTCTGTCTTCTCAAGGTCATTCAGCGCATCACTGAGAAGACATCTCACGCCAAGCAGAACCTATGGATTTTTTTTTAATAAGAAGAGGCAAAAAGCGCTACAGCACCTGGTATTCCCAGACGGTCACCCAATTCCAAGTACAACCAGACCCAACCTCTGCCTAGGCCTACCCCAAGATCAGACCAAGATGCACGTGCGTTCAGGGGGATATGGCCGTAGACTACTGACTCTTTGTAACAACAAAATATAAGACAAAAGCAATGAAGTTAGGGAAATAAACCAGACAGTGTGAATCAGAGCACAGGAGTTCTAAGGCAGAACGCCACAGAGGCAGCTGAGGTGGTGTCATTCTGCCAGAAAATCTCCCCCACTTCTATTTCTTGCTTGAGATGTACTTGGGGGAGAGGAAAAGATAAGGGAAGGAAAAGGCAGCTGAGGACCCCAGAAAGGACCCTTTCCTGGGAGAGGCAATAAGCCTAGGCAGGTGGTGGCAGCCAGCAAACTGGACACCTGGGGCCATGTTTTGTCACTGCTAATGAACCATCCCAAGAACTCATTGGGCACACACCAACTGTTTTATGATCCTGTAGGGTCAGGATATTAGACAGGCACAGCAGAGATGGCTTGTCTCTGCCTCCATGTTTAAGGACACCAGTCGAGAAGACTCAAACAGCGTGGGTGACTCAATACCGGGGTCTGGGATTACGTGGAGACCACCTCCACTCGCATGACTAAAGATCACACTGGGGCCAGGCGCGGTGCGCTCACGCCTGTAATCCCTAGCACCTCTGGAGGCCGAGGCGGGCGGAATTGCTCGAGTCAGGAGTTCGAAACCCCAGCCTGAGCAAGAGCGAGACCCGTCTCTACTATAAATAGAAAGAAACTAATTGGCCAACTAATATAATAAGAAAAAATTAGCCGGGCATGGTGGCACATGCCTGTAGTCCCAGCTACTCGGGGCTGAGCAGAAGGATTACTTGAGCCCAGGGAGTTTGAGGTTGGCTGTGAGCTAGGCTGATGCCCGGCACTCACTATAGCCTGGGCAACAAGCGAGACTCTGTCTCAAAAAAAAAAAAAAAAAAAAAAAGATCACACTGGGAAGACTAAGGCTTGGCTCAGCTGAGCTGTCAATGGGAGGACCTGCATGTGGCCTCTCTGTGTAGCCTGGGCTTCCTCACAGCATGGCGGCTTCCAGATAGTTGCATTTCCTTGGCTCAAGGATCCAAAAGCAAGTGTCCCAGCCCACAAGGCAAAAACTACACTGCCTTCACGACCCAGACTTGTACATCGCAAGGTCTCCATTCTGCCATTCTCTCCTGGCTAAAGCAGTCATAAGCCTGTCCAGATGCTAAGGGAAGGGGACAAACACCCCACACCTTGTGGTAGAAGGCCAAAGAATTTAAAGCCATTTTTAAAAGATACCAAACCTGGATTCTCTAAACCCTGACATCATCACCATCCAAAAAAGCTGTCACCAATATCACCTGCCCAGCAGCAAGTCTTCAGAGAAAGGGAAGTCAATTCCTCAGGAAAACACTGGGGACATTTGGGTCAGCTCCCAAGAAAGTCACCAAAAGGGGGGAAAGGAGCCTAGGAAACTGCCTAACACTGACATTGCTGGATCTCATTAATATCTCAATGAAGTTATTTGTTCGAGAAGTACTTACTAAGCACCTGCTTTGCTACGTGTTTAACAGGGTGTTGGACCTTAAAACAGCAAGCCCAATCACTCCATGGAGCTTACAAAATTACAGCTTGCAACCCACTGAAACAAGATGTGGGTATGAGAAGTCCTAGTACCACCCAAGTCATAGCATCCAGGGCCACCAAGAACAGGAGCCTCTATACCATGAATTCCCCCCTGCTTCCCAGAAACTTCTGGGTTTTCTGTGCAGCTAATAACTTCACACACTGCAGCCCCTGGTAACAGGGGCTTCCTAAGGACAACTGCTCTCTCAGGCTGGTGACACCAAGGATCAGGGCCAACCTCTCCCATTTGGTTAAGTACCTGACAACAAACACAGGCTGGCTCCCTCTGCAGTGCATCATCCTGCACCTGTCTCCCCAGCCCTCCCACCACCTCCCAGCCTTGGAACCAACTATACTTTCACAATATTCAGAGTAACTGGAGAAATAAGCAAACACAAAGTCAATGACCAAAAAAAGACATAAAGCAGCAGCCAAGAAGGGCAGGCACATGGGGGTGGGAGGTGACAAAATCTCTCATGCTCAGGCACTACAGAGGCGCAGACAGTGGAAGGGGTAAGTGGCAGGCAGGCGGAACAGAGACAGGGCAATGAATAGAAGAGACAGGTGACCCATCACCCTTGCCCCCAAGCACTCCACGACCTAACTGGCAGGCTCCTGGCATGAGGCCTTTTATTTCAACAGCACTCAGTGGGCCCGGCCCACGTCCTGTCACAGTCCCCAGATGTGAGACTGGTCTTCCCTGGTAGGTAAGACACAGTTCTGTTGGGTAAGTAGCTCCTCCCTCGATTCAGGGGGAGCCCCCTCCTGGTGATGCCTTTCAAAAGCGAGGTGACACATGGAGGCCCTGCCTCTGACGCCCAGGCTCACACGGTCCACTTCAGACATCTGCAGACAGAGAGGAAGCCCAGGATGAGGAGAGAGGCCTGGGGAGGCTGGGGGCTGCGGGGAGGAATGGGTGAGGCCCCACACTCACCTGGTCTCCTGGTGGGTGCCCAGGCAGCGCACGGTGCAGTACCGGGCACCACAGCTGACGCAGGTGTATGGGGAGGGGAAGCCGCAGACAGCACAGAAGGGGCGCTGGGGCCGTGATGGGGGACCCGCACAGGCTGTCAAGTAGTTGGGGCCCTCAGCCACACTCAAGTTCTGCAAACGGGACAGGCTCTATGACTCCTTTGCACACGCACACGACAAACACATGCCAGGGCCCAGGCTCTCCACAGGCCCACCCCTTCCCTGGGGGTCCTCCCAGGCTGGCTTCCATCTCACCTGCTCCTCCAGCAAGGCCTGAAAGTTTTTTCGGAAGCGAAGTTTAAAGTGATCACCTCGAGTTTTCTTCTTTTTCTTTCCTAGGGGTCAAGGGCAATTAGTTGCTTGACGCTTGCCAAGGAAGACTCCACCTTTCTGTGGCTGGTCACTCCCAGTGCCCACGTGCTCTCCTGGGTGCTGAGTCTGCCCCTCTCCTCCAGCCTCCGCCCCTCACCCTACTTCTCCAAGCCCACCCAACTGTCACTTCCATACCCCAAACCTCAGAGCTCATCTACTCCATCTTCTCCAGCCCACACGGGAGAGGAACCTGAGGCACATAAATAGAACACAGCTGCTCACAGCCACAGGACCAATCACCAGCAGGGGCAGAAGGGGCTTCTGGGTCCTCCACAGCCCTGACCTGTGCAGATTCTTCCCCCTCGTTTCAGCCACCCTTGTCCCACCACCCATCCCACCCTCTGCCTTCTACCTGCCTCACCAGTGTCTGCATCGTCATCAAACTGAGGCAGCCTCTTGCCCAGCTGGGGCAGTCCTGCGTGGGGGTCATCCTGGAAGTTGTCATTTTCCAAGGCTTCGAGCTGTCTGTTGATGCGACGCTGCCGGGCTGCCCGGTCCAGCACCCGCCGCTGCCCAGGGTCCTGGGAGCGGACTAGATGGAGCAGGGCAAGCAGAGTTATGGGGGGCACAGAAAAGAGAGAAGCTGGCGGCCTCGGCATTAGGTGGTGTGTGAAAGATGCCTCTGGGGTGGGGAGCCACAGTTCTCTGATCTCATCAAAGTCACCAAGCCCTCGGCCCCCCAGATCTTCTCCTAGGAGGGCAGCCCTCTGCCTTCACTTCCTTCCCAGCGGGCTGTGACCATTTCAGTCTCTCATGCTTGCTGTCAAGCCCTTCAACCTAGCCCTTCCTCCCAATCCCAGACCCAGTCGGTGAGACCCCCCTGGAGACATCTTGCTGCTGGCAGAAGCAGGAATCACACGAACGTACAGATTTTGGAGGCCACTATGCACTCAGGGCTTCCAGGCCCTACTGGGACCTTAATGCATGTAGCCTTACTGCTCAGCAATCTCATTTCCTACCCCAAAGGAGTCTGAGTCCGTCCAGATGTGGACATGCCAAGCTGTCAGCCCACCAGCAAACAGGATTCCAAGTGGAAGCATGCCCTGCCCCACGCCCCACCACTAAACCCAACCCTTCACCCAACTCGAGTTCCTCCCCTCCCTCCGGCATCGCCAACCCTTTCTCCTCAGTTGGCACATTCCCTTCAACAGAAAAGCCTGATGCACTCTCATGGGTCTTCCCACCCTCACAGCTACACTCCTTTGAGAGTGGCCACATGATGTGTCCTCATCTCTCATCTGTTCCTCAACCCCATCAATCTGACTCCTACCTGACCAGCTGGTGGGAACCACCCACCCTCAGGGCACTGGTGACCTCCTAAGGCCAACTCCAGTGTGCATTTCTAGACTCCTCCTGATTCCAGCTCCCTACACCCTGTGACTGTGCTGACTACCTTCTCTGGGTAAAAAAAAAGAGCTCCTTTGTTTGCCTCCTTGACAGGACTCCAGTCTTCCTCCTCCTCCAGGTCTGGCAAAGTTTTCCAGTTGGCTGCTCTCCCTGTCTCCACGAAGGTGGCTGTCCCTCTTCTCTCACTCAGTCCACACACTCTTCCTGGGATTTCTAATCCAAGCACAGGGCTCTATCACCCACAAGCAAATGACTCCAAAGGGATTCTTTTCAACCCAGAACCCTCTCCTCAGCTCGGGAACTGGCTGTGCAGCTGCTACAGGAAACCACTTGATGGCCCCACTGATGCTGCCCCTCAATATTACAAATCTCCTCACCTAAAGTCTGCTTCTCCTCCTGCAGAGTCTAAGTGAATGGAACCATCTTTGCAGATGTCCAGACCAGAAACCTAGGAATTATTTTAAACCTCTTTCCTCATTACCATATCAGCTGTTCACCAGGTTCTGATAATACTACACAAAATATCTCTTTACTCAATAAATATTTGTTTCAGTGCCTGTGAACCATAATACTAATAGCAGCAGCACCAGTAGCAAAACCTTGCCAGGCACCTATTATAAGCCAGGTATTAACTAAGAGCTTTGCATAAACTGAACCATTTAACCCTTGCAACAATCCTATGAGATAGCTATCATCATCCCCAGTTAAGAAATAGTCCAGCCAGGCGCGGTGGCTCACCCCTGTAATCCTAGCTCTCTGGGAGGCCGAGGCGGGCGGATTGCTCGAGGTCAGGAGTTCGAAACCAGCCTGAGCAAGAGCAAGACCCCGTCTCTACTATAAATAGAAAGAAACTAATTGGCCAACTAATATATATAGAAAAAATTAGCCGGGCATGGTGGCACATGCCTGTAGTCCCATCTACTTGGGAGGCTGAGGCAGCAGGATTGCTTGAGCCCAGGTGTTTGAGGTTGCTGTGAGCTAGGCTGACGCCACGGCATTCACTCTAGCCTGGGCAACAAAGCGAGACTCAGTCTCAAAAAAAAAAAAAAGAAATAGTCCAAAGTTCACATTGCTTGTAAGTGGCATAGCTCAAACCCAGAACTGCCCAGCATTGAAACTCATGATCTTGATCACCATACCATATATACACTGTCCTCCTTCCACGTGCCAGGTGGTGCCCTAGGTTCTGGGAATGCAAGAGCTTACTGACTAGAGTGGAACACAGACAAGTCAACAAACAAGCACAGTACACACAGTATATGCTAGGAGAGGGAAGTACAAAGTGCTACAGAACATAAGACTGAAACACCTAACTTGGCCTTAGGACAGTCAGGGAAGACTTCCCAGAAGAAGGCAAATCTAGGTTAAGCCCTAACTGATGAATAGCCTGGTTGGGGAAGAGGGCAGAGTTTTTCAGGCCTCGGTGCCAATATGAGAGAAGGCTTGGATGGGAGACTGTGGTGACTTCAAAACATTCAACAAAGTTCAGTATATATACTGAACTGGTGCATAAAGTGGGGGAGGGGAGGAATATAAAAGAGGCAGATCATTAGGAGTCTTAATTGCCTAAAGGAATTTGAATTTGGGGATTTTATGATGAGAGTGATAGATATCCAGTGAGGGGTTTTACGAAAAGAGTGACATTATTGGATTTACTGAAAATCAATCTGGCACAGTCCCAACCCTCATCTCTTTTTATCTGGACTATTCAGTAACCCAAACTAGACTTCCAGCCTCTAGACTTGTGCTATACATACAATAAGGTAGCCACTAGTCACATGTGGTTATGTAAACTTAAATTTAGATGAATTACGATCCAATAAGTGTGTGCTTGCTCACTCCTGTAATCCCAGAATTATGGGAGGCAGAGGTGGGAGGACTGCTTGAAGCCAGGAGTTCCAGACAAGCCTGGGTAACATAGTGAGACCCTGTCTCTAGAAAAAAACAAAAATAAAACAAAAAACCAAAATTTTAAATAAATAAATGAAAAGCTCTCCAGTCTCCAGGTGATTCTCATATACAACCAAGGCTGCAAACTGTAGTCCTAATTTATCTAAAGTCAGCCCAATTCCAATGCTAGTCTTTCTGCACAGGCTGCTCCTCACCCCAAGAAATTACTGAAGTTGGAATATTCCCATCAGACAGGAAGGCTAAAATAAAAGTCTGGTCAGCCAAGCTTCTGGGATAGCAGATGATATTATCATTTTAAAAAAAATTAATGTAATCCTAGCATTCTGGGAGGCCGAGGCAGACGGATCGTTTGAGCTCAGGAGTCTGAGACCAGCCTAAGCAAGAGGGAGACCCAGTCTCTACTAAAAATAGAAAGAAAGTAATTGGCCAACTAAAAATATATAGCCGGGCATGGTGGTGCATGCCTGTAGTCCCAGCTACTCGGGAGGCTGAGGCAGGAGGATCGCTTGAGCCCAGGAGTTTGAGGTTGCTGTGAGCTAGGCTAACACGACAGCACTCTAGCCAGGGCAACAGAGTGAGACTCTATCTAAAAAAATTAATAAATAATTAAAATTTAAAATTCCTCAGCTGCACTAGCCACATTTCAAGTGCTCAACGGCTACATGTGGCTAATACCCCATATTTAACAGCACAGATTAAGATCATTCTCATCATCCAGAAAGTTCTACTGGCTAGTGTTCTAGTTCCTCCAATCCGTCCTCTGCACTAAAGCCAGAACTGCCGTTGTAAAAGATAAATTTGCTTTGGTCACTCGCTTGCCTTAAAAGCCATTGATGGCTTTTAAGCTACCTCCATAAAACTCCTCAGCAGTGTATATAATGCCTTTCAAAATGTAACCTTTTCCCAGTCCTCCGGCCCTTCTTATTTCTCTGCAAGCTGTAAACTGTGAACTTGGCTTCCTAAGCGATTTGCCTTTTTCTTCTTGCCTTTGCTTGTACGGTTCCCGCTGCCGGAGAGGAGTTCCCGTGTAGGTACTCCAAGCGGAATTTTAATTCGACTTTTAAGACTCAGTTAAAGCGTTTTTGTTCCTTTTCCTTTCGCGCCTTCCCGGTCCCCGCCTTCCCAGAGGTTGGCTTGGGTGCTACTCCACCCGCACCCGCACTGTGCGGCCTCCCTTTGCCATAGCGCCTATCACTCTGAAATGCGGTGGTAAGTCTGCGTGTCTGTCCCCCATTCCACCCCGCCCCCGCCCCAGGAAGCCAGTTCTCGGATAACTGGGATCTTTCTCCTGTCCATCCCCTGCACCCAGCCTGGACCAGGAGTCAATAAAACGTGGTTTGGGGGCTGCCTCAATGACAGAACCCGAGGGTTGGGAAAGGAATTTGAGACGAATAACTGGGTGAGAAAATTCTAGGCCTGGTTTGGACTTGCGAAGACTACAGGGGCGAACCGCTGGGGGTTCACATACCCGAGGCTTTCTTCTCCACCATTTGCACAACACAGCTGCCGGAAAAGCTTACTGCGCACGCGTACTAAAACCTACGGCTTAGGTGGGGCACCATCACTTCCGGTGGCACGTACTCTTGCGCGTGCGCAGAACGACTCCCCACCGCTTAGACTCCTTACGTAATGTTTCCTTGGAGACAAGAAAGCTTTCCGCCATGTTTTATAGGGGCAAAACTTCCGGCGTCAGTGTGGTTGTGTAAATTTTGTGGGTCACTTTAAAGAGGTGGTGCCAGAAGTCTTTCGAAAAACGTTATTTTATTTTGGTCCTTCTGAAGATGCCATCATCACAGAGGCAGCCCCTGAAGCTTCTCTCGAGGCAGTAGAGGTGGTGGGCTGGACTGTTAAAGAAAATGGCAGGCTTTAGTGGACAATCCTATAGGTCCCTGGTGGCCCTCTGCCGAAAGCTCAATCCCCTAGCTCCCCTCGGCCCCGATCCTGTCGCAGACTCCGCAGCCTTCTGCCTCCCTGCCTCCCCCGTTCCTCCACTCGTCCCTGCTCCGCGCGCCCCTAGCGCCTCGCTCTTCCGCCCGGCTGTGCCTGGCAGGGCTGTGGCAAGGACCCGCCTCCGCGTCCCGCCAGACCTTCTGCGAGGGGTCACTTCCCACTTCCCCTCTCCCGGTTTCAGTTTCCACATGTGTCAGGTGGGCAGAAGGCCCGGCTGGCTCGGACCCAAGCCCGGGTCTCCCGCTAGCCTGCCCGAGCCCCCGCCCACCTCCGTCCCCGGCTGGGCGCCCGGGACAATCCTCGCCTTGTCTGCGGCGCCAGCATCTCGAGTTTTCTGTAGCCTCCGGATACGCCTTTTTTCCAGGGCGGAGCCCCAGCCCTGCTCCACCTCGCGGCGGGCCGCACACAGCAGCCCGGGTTCCTCCTTCCCCAGGGTTGGGATCCAGGCGCACAGCTGAGCCCGGTGCGGACTGTCCCGACCCGCTCTCCGCCATGGCCCCGTCGGGCCTGGGATCCCAGCTCCTGCTGCCGCTGCTGCTGCTGCTGCGGCCGCCACCTCCTGCCGCCTCAGCCTCCGACCGGCGCCAGAACAACAGCCCCGTCAACCCAGGTGAGAACTCGGAGGGCCGGCCGGGCCGAGTGGGCGCCAGACTGACGTGTCTGCCTACCTGGTCCGAGAGGGGGCCAGGGGCTCCCGAGAGTGTCCAGCCTCTGCCCTGCCCAGCGCGCTCCTTAGGACTGAATCTCGCGGCCCCTCTGCCACTCTCCACCCTGAACTGGGACTTCCAGCATTCCCGTGCGAACTGCCCCCGAATTCCATGGTGTCCCTCCCACCCCGCTCTCACTGGGGTCGAAGTGACCAGGGGTGGAAAGAGTTTAAGAGGGAATGGGAAAGAAGAGAAAAGCGATGGTAGTAGAGTCAGAGGGAAGTGGAGGGCGCCTACGGAGAGCGAGACAGCAAGACACGTGGGGCACGGAGCTGGGGGGAGGGTGGGTCCCAAATGCCAATTCCTGACTGGTGACAGAGAAGCTGCTGGTGATCACCGTGGCTACAGCTGAGACGGAGGGATACCAGCGTTTCCTGCAGTCTGCTGAGTTTTTCAACTACACTGTGCGGGTGAGGATGGAGAAAGCCCTCAGGCCCCTGGGAAGAGGTCCCCTCAGGAGGAGTGGGCTGAGGGCTGGATGTCTGGGTCACCACGGTGAGCCTGGTCAGGAGCTCCCCCAATCTTGTCTGGCTGAGCCCTTTCCTGGCATGACGGGTCTCCCCCACAGACCCTGGGCCTGGGAGAGGAGTGGCGAGGGGGTGATGTGGCCCGAACCGTTGGTGGAGGGCAGAAGGTCAGGTGGCTAAGGAAGGAAATGGAGAAATATGCAGACCAGGAGGATATGGTCATCATGTTTGTGGACAGGTAAAGGGGCTGGGGCTGGGGAGAAAGAAAGGGGAACATGAGGAAGGGTAAGGATGCTGAGGTTCCTAGTGGCCTCCTGCTCATACTCCCCTTCCATGCGTAGCTACGATGTGATTCTGGCTGGCAGCCCCTCGGAGCTGCTGAAGAAGTTTGTCCAGAGTGGCAGCCGCTTGCTCTTCTCTGCAGAGGGCTTCTGCTGGCCCGAGTGGGGACTGGCAGAGCAGTACCCTGAGGTGGTCACAGGGAAGCGCTTCCTCAACTCTGGTGGTGAGTGGCATAGTCCCCTAGGCAGATGGGCCAAGAGCAGTGGGGCATGGCTCTGTTCCAAGTGCCTGAGGGCTGGAGAGGGTGTGGGGACAGACCTGTGGGACCCTGGGGGTCTTGGGGTCAACACCTCCCCTTCCTACCAGGATTTATTGGCTTCGCCCCCACCATCCACCAGATCGTCCGCCAGTGGAAGTACAAAGACAACGATGACGATCAACTCTTCTACACGCGACTCTACTTGGACCCAGGACTGAGGGTGGGGAGGCGCAGAGAAGTGGCGGCACCCTGCAGCCATGTGGGAGTGGGGGCTGGATGGGAGAGGACGGTTGAAGGGGAGTAGGGAAAATGTGAAGAGAAAGAGAGAGATGATGTCTTCCCACCCCTCTTCAATTCACTATCCTGACTCATCCTATCCCGTGCAGGAGAAACTCGGCCTTAATCTGGATCATAAATCCCGGATCTTTCAGAACCTCAACGGGGCTTTAGGTGAGGAGGAAGGCCTTGGGAGGTGGGCGATGAGAAGGTCCTGAATGAGGAGGGGCACCTGGTGGAATTGGGCTGGGTACAGCTTACCTTTATGTTAATGTCATCAAACACCTGGGTGGCTCAGTGTGTGCAGTACCCTGTGCTCATGGTACTAAGAGCCAAAGCAGCAGAAGCTTGCCCAGCCGAGGTACCAGGCGAGGGCTTTGCTTGTGTGACTTCATTTAACACAAGGAAGGTCCCTGGTTAGGGACCCGGTACAAAAGAGAAACTGACTCCCTAAGGGACTGTGACTCACCCCAGCTCACACAGGAAGTAGGTGGTGGAGCTCTCCAGGGTAGCCTGGTCAGAAACTGAGGGCTCCTGCCACCACAGAGCCCCAGTCCAGCATGACACAGGCATCCTTTTATCCTCTGGAGAAATTGAGACCCTGTATTTGGAAGAACGTGTTGCTTGGCAGCTCCCAGAGAAAAGGAGTCTAAAGCCTGGCCTTCCTTCCCCAGATGAAGTAGTTTTAAAGTTTGATCGGAATCGTGTGCGAATTCGGAACGTGGCCTACGACACCCTCCCTGTTGTGGTCCATGGAAACGGTCCCACTAAGGTGCTCCCAGTAGCCCCCTCCCCTGCCCTTCCCCAACCATGAGACACCTGCAACCCTTCTGAGAAGGTGGCCCTCCCCAGCTCCCACAGCAGAGGAACTGGGAGAGGCTCTCCCTCTTCTTGCTGCTCTGTCCCCACCTGTCCCCTGACCCCTCACCACTGAGCCTCTACAGCTATGCAGGTCTCTCCCCAACAGCTCGAGCTGAACTACCTGGGAAACTATGTCCCCAATGGCTGGACTCCTCAGGGAGGCTGTGGGTTCTGCAATCGGAACCGGAGGACACTCCCGGGGGGGCAGGTGAGGGGCTGCCAGGGTGGGGCATGAGGTCACTGGAGGCAGGTGCAGGCTGAGCACACTGGGCATGGGTGGGGGCAGAGCTGATCAGTCCCTCGGGCCTGGTGGGGTGTTGGTGGCAGAGGGAAGGCTCAGGCTCTCCTCTGAGCCCCATCATGTTGTGTCTTCCAGCCTCCCCCCCGGGTGCTTCTGGCTGTGTTTGTGGAACAACCTACCCCGTTTCTGCCCCGCTTCCTGCAGCGGCTGCTGCTCCTGGACTATCCCCCTGACCGGGTCACTCTTTTCCTACACAACAACGTGAGACACCCTCCCCTGTGGACCCTCCCAGGGGACCCTTCCCCTGTCCTGATCAGAATTCCTGCCCCTGATCCCAAACTCCTTCCCTCCCACCTCGCACCCCCACTTCCGTCTGGTGCCATCTTTCTGCCATCTGCCCTATCCCCAGGAGGTGTTCCACGAGCCCCACATCACAGACTCCTGGCCACAGCTCCAGGACCACTTCTCAACTGTGAAGCTGGTGGGGCCAGAGGAGGCCCTGACCCCAGGAGAGGCCAGGGACATGGCCATGTGAGTGGGTGCTGGGCAGGGAGGGAGCCAGGGAGGAGGGTGGGATGGAGGGGTTGCCACCCACTGCATGGCATTTGCCTCACCTGTCACCTGGCTGGCCCCTATTGGACCTCTGCCCTCTCACTCTCGCACCCCGCGTGACTGTCCCCTCCATTGCCACTAGCAGAGGACCTGGGGATGGGGGCTTTCCCCTGATACTACTGTGGGGGCCCCTACCCCCGACTCCTGCCCGTGGCAGCTTCTCTCTGTGGGTCTGTCACCTCCAGGGAGAGTTGTCGGCAGGACCCTGAGTGTGAGTTCTACTTCAGCCTGGATGCTGATGCTGTCCTGACCAACCCACAGACCCTGCGCAGCCTCATTGAGGAGAACAGGTTGCTTGTCCCCCTCAGCCAGGGCGCCCCCGTAGTCCCCTGAACCCCACTCCTTCCAGGGCATGGGACTCCCTGAGGCCTGCTCCCCTCTGCCCGGCCCTCACGCCCACCTGTCCACAGGAAGGTGATAGCGCCCATGCTGTCACGCCATGGCAAGCTCTGGTCCAACTTCTGGGGAGCCCTGAGCCGGGATGAGTACTACGCTCGCTCCGAGGACTACGTGGAGCTGGTGCAGAGGAAGCGAGTGTGAGTCCTGCCCAGCTGGCAGCCACCCCTCACCCACCCCTGCCTAGCTGGGACCTATGCAGCCCCCACCCGCTTGCTCACAAGTGTCCAGGCCACTCACCGGTCAGATGTCCCTCGGCTTCGGGTGGTCCTGACCAGTCATGCCTGACAGGATGTAGTGGACCTTGAGTCTCAGGGACTGCGATGTCTCCAGAGAAGGACTTCCTGGGCAAAAATTGGGGACAGCCCACTTCACTGACCCTGGTGTTGGTGCCTCCAGGAGTGTGTGGAACGTGCCCTACATATCCCAGGCGTACCTGATCCGAGGGGAGACCCTGCGGGAGGAGCTGCCCCAGAGGGAGGTGTTCTCAGGGAGCGACACTGACCCGGACATGGCCTTCTGTAAGAGCCTGCGGGACAAAGTGAGTGGCGGTCAGGCCTGGGTGCAGTGCCTGGGGGCCGGGTGCTGGGAGGCACGGGGCAGCCCCCTGGCGTATCCCCCATAACCACCACCCTCCCACCCCAGGGCATCTTCCTCCACCTCAGCAATCGGCAGGAATTCGGTCGGCTCCTGGCCACCTCCCGGTACGACACAGACCACCTACACCCTGACCTCTGGCAGATCTTCGACAACCCCCTTGTGAGTCAAGCCTCACTGAAAGCCAGCATGTCCCTCACCCTCCACCCAACACTGCCTGGGCTGGGAGTGAAGGGACACCTGTCTGACATGCTCTGACCCCTGCAGGACTGGAAGGAACAGTACATCCATGAGAACTACAGCCAGGCCCTGGAAGGACAGGAGATTGTGGAGCAGGTGAGCCAGCTCAAGACCCCCCCACCTAACCCATAGCCAGGGCCTCTCCCCAAATCCTCGCCGACCACCTGGATTAGCAATTTTTGCCCTGAGCTCCCTGATCAGGCAAGCTGGAGGCAGAGCTGAGCAGGTAGGGCTCCAGCCCCACC